TACATTTTTTTAGATCACTATTGCCTATGCATCTTACCTAAATGAATGACAGAGACACTCATTACCACATAATCCTGTAAGAAAGATTATCAAATTTTTCGAAGGAGGCATCCAGTACCTGAGGTGTGAGTTTAAGAATTCACTAATAGTGGCCAGGCGCAGTGGCTCACCCCTGTAATCCCAGCACTTTGAGAAGCCAAGGTGGGCAGATCACCTGAGGTCAGGAATTGCAGACCAGCCTGGCCAACATGGCAAAACCCTATCTCTACTAACAATACAAAAAATAGCTGGGTGTGGTGGCACGCACCTGTGGTCACAGCTACGTAGGAGGCTAAGGCCGATGAATCGCTTGAGCCCAGGAGGTAGAGGTTGCAGTGAACCGAGTGCACGCCACTGCACTCCAGCCTGGGTGACAGAACAAGACTCCGTCTCAAAAAAAAAAAAAATCGCTAATAGTGACAAAGACAGTGCATATTTGTTGAGCTAATATTTTTGTATCTGTGTTTCCGTTGTTAGTTTCCAAAAACAATTACAGGTTGCTAATACACATCAACTGGACTGTTCAGTAGAAGCTCCTGTGTTTCCCATTATCTCTGACAGCATCCAGGGGTTCATATGGAGAAAGCAGAAAATGCTGAGGTCTGAGATTTGATGGATGGTGACGTTGGAAATCTTTTTATGTGCCTATTTATCTCAGTATATCTGCTTCAGTGAAATGTCTCTTCATAGTTCTATCCATTTTCTAATTTGATTATTTTGCTTTTTTTTAAAGTCATTCTAGAATTCTTTATACATTCCACATACCAGTTTTATGGCAGATATATGGTAGGCAAATATTTTCTGTTATTCAGTACTGTATTAGTCCATTTTCACACTGCCATAAAGATACAGTCAGAGACTGGGTGATTTATAAACAAAAGAGGTTTAATTAACTCACAGTTCCACTTGGCTAGGGAGGCCTCAGGAAACTTACAACGATGGAGGAAGGCAAAGGGGAAGCAAGGCACGCCTTGCATGCAGCAGGAGAGAGAGCGATCAAAGGAGGAACTATCACAGATTTTTAAACCATGAGATCTGAGAACTTGCTATTATGAGAACGGCATGGGAAAGCCACCTCCATGATCCAGTCACCTCCCACCAGGTCCCTCCCTCAACAACTGAGGATTATACTTGAAGATGAGATTTGATGCGGACATCGATCCAAACCATATCAAATACCTTTTCTTTCCTTGTCTTAAGTTTTTAATTTGGTAAATACCAGTTGATTTTTTTTCTTTAATGAATCATGCTTTTGCTGCCATGGCTAAGAATTTTTGAACAAGCTCTTGATTCTTACGATTTTATTCTGCGAATATTTTTTTCTTTCAGTCTCTTACAGGATACCATTTTATGGTTTGATATTTTACATTTAGGCTATGGTCAATGTTGAGCTAATGTCTGTACGCTTGTGAAGTTTGAGTAAAGATGACTTCTTTTCTGCTATGGATATTAAGTTAGCTCCTCACCAGTTTTAAAAAATTCTTCCTTCCTTCAATTCCCTCGGTAACTTTGTGAAAAATCAGTTGGAAGTACCTGTGGAGGCTATTTTTGCACTCACTTATTGTATTGCATCAATCCATGTCTTTTATTGCCCCAATACCACACAATTTTTATTATCTTTGCTATATTGGTAGTCTTGAAATCCAGTGGAGTTATTCCAGACACTTTATTTTTGTTTTTCAATAACGTTTATGGATCCAGCCACTGCTAGTTGTGGATCCCCCACTGAAATCCCAGTTCCCGGACTGCTAAGCTGCAGGAGACTCCGTAGCAGGATTGGGTCCAACCTGCAGGCAAAATGTTTTTACCATAAACCGTTTTCAACTTGGTAAATGGAAAATATTTTGGTTTCCAACATAAGTGGCCCACACAACTCTGCTTCTTAACCTTAAAACGGCGCAGGCCCCGCCCACTGCAACCACGCCACGCCTCCAGGCTGCCTGGGCTCTTCTCTCCGCACATGCGCAGTTTCCTACAGTCCCGGAAACGGATCGTGTTGGGTGAAGGTGACGGCGCTGAGCGTGAGTGGCCCTCTGTGTAGATTAAACCTGCGCTCCCTGTTTCCCATTTCCACAGCCGATGCCCGGGGTCGCTACGGGCTTTAAAATCCCCGCACCGCGCCCTCCATCCCAGGTGAATACAGGCCTCACGGTGTGGGTCCGGAATCGCTTCCCTTTGGGTTGAAGTCGCTCTGAGGCTGCACCCTGTCCCCGGCCCTAAACCTTTTCCTGACCCCTCCTCCAACCCCGGGCTTTTTAAAGTCCTCACCCAAGAGGTGGATTCCCGTCCTGGGCGCATCCCAGCCTCGCCCTCGTCGGCCCCTGGAGCGCAGCGCCCCAGAGCCCGCGTGCTCTGCCTGGTCCTGGGATCCTGCAGACCCCACCCCTGTCCGAAGGTGCCTGCGCCCCCCACCTCCCTCCTCCTCGTGCCCTGCCCTGCTGCTCCCCAGGCCTCCCCTGAGCCCGCGTTGGGGAGGTGCTCAGGGCCTGTCCTGTGACACCCGGTGTTCTTACCTGCCCCCCTCCACTCCCTGGAAAATGCTCTCCTCCAGGTTGCAGGCATCTTACCCCAAACCCTCTTGTGAATGTGTGGGCCAAAGGGATCGGGAGAGGGACAGAGAGAGCA